AAAAAAAAATGATTTCAACCAATGTTTTTCTAATTTTAATTTACTAATTTAAAGTAAATAAATATCTATATTTTCCTTAATTAAATTTATTATTGTAATTAATTTTACAATTTCAAAAACTAATAATTAATATGTAACAAATAATTTGATTTGTTAATGGAAATAATGAAATAAAATATTTATATTTAAAATTGAAATTTAATTTTAACTTATCCCACTTTGAATGTCAATAGAAAACTAGAAGAGGATCTCTCATTTAAAAAGGAGTATCCTGATGGTAGAAGTCAATATTGGGTTTGTTAGGAAAATAGGTGGGCCTCAAGTTAGTTTAAAATGTTTCCCTAATTTTTATTAATTTTGAATCGAATTATCGGATCGAATGTCCGATAACATAGCAAATCGAATATGGATTTAGTAATTAAATATTCGTTGGATTATCGGATCGGATCGGATAAATTTTCTTATCCAATCGGATCGGATATAGACAGATCCGATCCATATCCGATCCATTTACAGCCCTATCTTCATCCATCGAGTTCCCAACATCACGCACCACCTCACGCTCCGTCACAAAAGCTACCACCAATAAAAACGTCATCGCCATCGCGACGGTAGAGAGAGAAGGATGTCAACTGTCGTGATTGCACCGCGACTGGTAGAGGGATGCCAACTGCCTTGACTGTTCCGCTACGAGTAGAGAGAAGGAGAGAGAGACGGGTTTAGAGATGTAGAGAGAGAGAAATGAGATGGGGAATTAATTAGGGTTTGTGATGAATTTTTGTGGTATTAATAATATTAAATATTTAAAATAATATTTGATTTTTGTATATATAAACTTTATATCTAATTTCTGAAATTGAATTTTAAAAATTGTGGTTACGTAATTTCCACTTCATTTAAACCTCAAATCTCTGCTACTGGATCCTGGTTTTGGTGCTCAAGACATTAGCCTTTTGAGTAGAGATTTAAGTGAACTGGTGTGGGCTGCCATCCCTCCTGGACCGGCCCAATAACCGGTTCATACATCTGGATTGAGCAAAAAAATGATATATCAAAAAGAAGAGAGTCCGGAGGAAGATACGTCGGCAGCGTGGTGGAGAAGGGAGTCCGGAGGAAGATAGAAATGGTTAAAGATTTTAGGGTTAGGGCTGGGGTATATATAAATTAATTTACTGTAGATAAATATAAAAATAAAAAAAAATGTTTTTAAATTAATATTTAAAACCTGATTTTTGAAGTATGAAACTTGAATTAGGATTTATGAAAATGGTATTTTAAAAGTAGGGCTAGGTGTAATTTCTCCTTCATTTAAACCTCAAATCTCTGCTACTGGATCCTGGTTTTGGTGCTCAAGACATTAGCCTTTTGAGTACAGATTTAAGTGAACTGGTGTGGGCTGCCATCCCTCCTGGACCGGCCCAATAACCGGTTCATACATCTGGGTTGAGCAAAAAAATGATATATCAAAAATTTGAATAGAGATCGATTATTTTGAAGCAAAATAAATAAATAATTGCTAATTAGTAACTCAAAGAACTTTAATATTGTAATTCCTGACTGAATTTTTTAGCATTTATAGTATAATCAGCCAATTATTATAAGATTTGTTCAAAAACAATTGGTCGATGCAAAATGTTTTCTGTTTTGTCTTTATATATATATTTCTTATCGGAATGGTAAATTGATTACACGCTTTTGGAAAAAACACACACTAAATTAAAGATTTTTTTTGGGTAATTCTCGAGAGGTTCGCATATTAAAAAAATGTTTGATACAAATTAACTGGTGTAATTGAATTGAAATACACTAGTCATGTCGCGCTAAGTGTACTTCCCCTTCATATTTTACAATTTGAATTGGTTTAATTCTAAAGCCTCGTGATATGTAGTCAGAGTTGAGATTTAATTTAATAAAATTGTGATTGCAATGAATTTTTTTGTCCATTCTAAAAGACAAAAGTTCCATCGTAGGAGAATTTAGTCGAAACGACCACACACACATAAATATTTGAGTACGTTCCATATTTCACACACAATCAAGACAAGGGAGCCAATCATAATTATGAATAATCAAGAGTGTGATGATGGAAGAGAAAAAATAAAAAATACGTCCTTATTAATAAAAAACAATTACGTACTCTCATGCATCTTTCTCGTTGTCATTTTTAAGGTAGATAATTTAAACTTTAGTATTCATACATTCAATAAGACATAAGTTTTATCTACACAATTAATAGGACTCATACTATATAAATATTTAAAAACACTTTAAAGTGTTTTTTAAATCCAAAGATGTATAATAAATGAGAAATTTAAAGTGTCCCCACTTCTTTTCTCCATTACATATTGTAGAATGTACAAAAAAAGTTGTACAAAAAAGTTGACAAACCCTCACATGAGGGGGGGTCCACTTTTTATTTTCAATTTTTTATTCACGTGGGGCCGGCACTCATGTGAGGGTTTGTCAACATTTTTATTAAATTCTTTTTGTACAAATAGCTTTTTTCTTGTAGAAAATTAGTAAAATATATTTTCAACGTAGGACAGATACAATTCTCCCCTGTACCCCGTCCCAAAAAAAGATACGCCAAAAAAAAAAAAAAAGGGGAGAGAGAGAGAGATTTTACGGTCGTCAACTTCTGTTTTTCATATTTCTCCAGTTATTTCTCTATCCATAGAGATATATACAGTGATTAGAGGAGCCCAGTAAAAACAGAGTAATGCAGAACCAACCCACCTACAGCTTTGTCATGGAGCTTGAGGTCGTCCAATGCTAATTCGTCTGACCCACTTAAAACCCAGATGACACCAAAAAAGTTCCACATATAACTCACCTTTGCCATTTCTCTTTCGCTACCTGCAGCAATCAATTCCCAATTTTCATTTTTCCCACCTACACATATTTTTTGTTCTAGACGCATTTGAGTAAGTTTCTCTTGCTCATTTAATTCTCTTTGCGATTTTTTCTGTCGTGAAAATTTACAGAATATAAGTGTTCACGTTGATGGAAGGTTTTGTTGATTTGATTTTTTTTTTTGTTTTTGCTGTTTATCCCTTGCATGTTGATTTTGTAAAACCCGATGAAAATAATAAAGCAAACCATTTTTTTTTGATAATTTTTAGGTGTATGGAAATCGGTCTGTGTTTGAATACCACTGCGTGAAAAAAAATCGTGTTCTGGATTATTCAAGATAGAATCTTTAGTAATTCAGAAATCAAATTGTTTTTTTTTTCCCTTTTTTGTTAAATTACTAATAGTTGTAACTTTTTTTTTTTTTTGTGCGTCTTTTAATGATTATTGCTTGAAACCAGGCAATTTGCTGAAGGGGTTAACTATAAATCACTGGTTTTGTTTATTACACTTACTACTTCTGTTTGTCTATTGTTTAATTAGGAAACAGGATGTCGGATAATAAAGTGTATGTGGGATGGGAAGAGCGTGTTATGCGAAGGGAAAGCGGCAATCGCCTGGTTCACTTTTACTTAAATGATGCAGCTGGGAATTCTCTCCTTGCTGTCGTGGGAACAGAGAGGAGTTTAAGGCATATGGTCTATTCCGTTACTGAGGACTTCATACGCGTGTTTGGGTCCACTATAGAAGTCCATTCCGGCATGAAGTGGCAAACAAAGCGAGAAGTTGTTGATTTGCTTATATCAATAGCCTCAAGGGGCGATCCAATTATTGCTCATTCAAGTACGTACTGCTCATATAGAACTTATGTTTTTGTTCTCATTTTATTAATGATTTTTCAGGTGCAAATGGCTAAAGAATTGCAGTTGTTATAGTAGCTTTTGGACATCCCTCACAAGTAGTTTGAGGCAATCCCCACGGCTTTTAGTTAATTGTTGAGAAGAACAGCTCTGTAGGAGATTGTGCAAGAGTAAATGTGTACAAATTACGTTCTTTTCAATTTCTTGAGTACTCGATACAAGCCATTAGTTTAAGATGATGTCTTCCAACCAACTTATGCTTTAAAGTTGCCAACACATTTAAGTGATGGTTATGGATACAGACGTATATTAGATGATTTAAGAAAGAAGGATAATTCGGAGCTCACTTCCTAAATGATAGTAATGGCTTTGTATTTGAGTAGTTATGTGTTTGTTGGACATGTATTATCTTACAAAGATATGTGAAGAGGGGAGAAGAAGGGTATGCTTCTATAGAAAAGTGCAGTGTTTTACTTTTGAGATGTCAGCAATACTAAGATTTGTCAGGTACTCAAGATCTGGTTGCAGCCAATGTTTTCTTTATCACACAATTGAACAAATTCTGTGGCCGTACGTTTCGTTTGTAGCATGCTCTGGATGCGGAGAAAAGTTTTTCAAAATTGGATTTCATCATTCTTAGTATTTGGTTTTATTCTTTTGTCGTTTACGAGTGATTGTTGCAGTTTTTGTCATTTACTGTGCCGACCAGAAAGAACCAAAAGACACTAGGGGTGTGTTTGACACCCATTTTTTGAAGATGAAATTTTTTAGAATAGTGATTGATGGGAGAATGTGTGGTGGAAAAGTTATGAAAAATTTTAGATTTGTGTGTAATATTATTTTATTGGAAGAATGTGTGGTTGAAATGAAGTAAGAGAAAAAAATGAGAATGAGATAGAGAATGGGTGCTAAACATGAGCTAGATTAGTATGGATCATTGTAAAATGAAGTAAGAGAAAAAAATGAGAATGAGATAGAGAATGGGTGCTAAACATGAGCTAGATTAGTATGGATCATTCTTGATTTTCTCGTCATTATTTCCTTTTTAATTCATTCATTACTGTTTCTCTTTGTTGAGACCTATACAATCATTCCCATAACTCACAATCTGAGATCCCAGTTTCGTTCATTCCACTCGCATTAAGCATCTCTAAGAGTTTACTCATTTATCTATTTTCCATTATTAAGCTTTGGAAACTTCTTCAAGTCCTTTAAATAAGCCACTTCATAACGTGCATTGAGAAGCACTTACTTTGTTCAAGGATTAGTTTACCAACGCTTTCACGTCAATTTCTATAATGAAACCAAGATATCTTACCCTTCTGCGATTCTAGTTTTGGGATTTACTAGGCTAAGATACATCAACAACTCAGGTTCTAATACTGCATTCCAGAACGTAACTCCTCTGTTTATCAAAATAGTCCAGGATACTAAATAGTAACAAAGAAAACATAGCGTAAGGAAACTTGTGTGCATATGCAATGTAGATATCTATTAGAAGCTTATGATCCAAAAGTGACAGAGAGAATTGGAGGATGAAAAGGCATTTAAAATCTTGGTATTGAATGCAGCATCGTTAGGGTACCATTGCAAGGCAAGATTCGGCTTTAATAGTTATAATTACATAAATAACAAACTCCTGTAGGAGAATTAGAAATTTGAGAGTGGTATTTCTTCATCAATAAATTTTGAACAATGATAAATCTGCTATGTTAGAATTGGCATTGTTGATTCTGTTTCCTCATATTTTATTGACTAATATAAAGACATGCATTCTCATTTTTGTCATTCTGTTCAACACTGTTTGGCTGTTGGTATGTGCATACACATGCACGTGCATGCACACACCTGAAAGGGGAAGGAGGGAAAGATTGATATAATATTAAGGTAGGTCGGTCAACATAAGTGCTATGCATTCTCATGCACGCATGAGAGGGGAAGAGAGGGAAGATTGGTATGAGGTATTAAGGTGACTCAATGGATAAAAAATACTACTTTAAAATCTAGTATTAAAGAGACTAGTATAATTGGTAAGTTGGTCAATGGATATTGGTACTGTGCATTTTTGGAAAACTATTTCGTATAGTTCTCTCTTCATTTATGTCGACCTTTTTGGTCTAACGATAAATTTCACTATTTTTCCATATTAATGGTTTTAAGTATTATCCATCTAATATGGAAAGAGGAAAGTGTTCCCCTATTTAATCTTTAGAGATCTCAGTCAGTGTCATTTTGTAATGGAATTCTTCCCCTTTAAATTTCTCTAAATAACATCTGATTCATTCAGCAATCGGTACTTTTGTGCAAATGTAATTTCAGATAGTCAAGTAGCACAACCATGCCCAGAAGTGAAAATAACAATGTCAGACAAGCCTCCTGTTCGACCCGAGCAACAGTCTCGAAAATTGTCCAAGTTCAATCATAATATAGAGCTTCTTAGCGAGGACAGCGGCATGCGAGGCTGCTGGTTCAGGTGTAAGGTCATAAAGTCGTCAAAGAAGCTTCTACTAGTTCAATACTATGATGTCCCCGATGCTGATGGATCTGGGAAACTTGAGGTATTAATCATTCAATTGTTACTCTTGTTTTATATTCAAGTCAGGATTCTATATAGTGATAGTTATGAGGCTATAAACTCAATGAAAATGCAATTAATCTTTGCCATTCTCTTTTACACCACTGGTGTGTTTGGTCAGCAGAGGATTTGATACCACTAGACAGAACTAGTATGTGTTTTGATTTTGATATAATTAATCATTCTATCTGCTTGATATGTATAGGAAAGGGTTTCTGCATCTAAAGTGGCAGCTGCAGATATATTAGGCATGAGATTTACCGGCCGTCCTGCAATCCGGCCTTGGCCTCGTGAGAATTCTTCAGACCTTACATTGAAGGTTGGAGCGGCAGTTGATGCATGGCAGAGCAATTGCTGGTGTGAAGGTATCGTGTTTGGATTTAGCACGTCTGCAGACAAAAATCCGCATGTTTACTTTCCTGGTAAGTACGAATTGAACTTGGCAAAATCTGATTATCCTTTTATCCCATAATTCTTATCGATTTGACATGATAATCACATCCCAAATGTTTTAAGCTATTAGCAATAGATTTTTAATGTCACTTTGTTGCATTGAAGCTGGACTTTTAATTCCTCGCCACAGAGGATCTGATTCAGCTACTATTTTACTATAGGTGAGAAGAGGTTCTCGGCTGTTGAGAGGAAAAACCTTCGAGTTTCAAGAGATTGGATTAACAACAAATGGGTGGATATAGATGGTAAACCCGATATACTATCTTGGTTATCTTCAAATCACAGCCCCAGGGTGATTCCACCTGTCCCGCGTTTTCCTGTTTCGGCTGAGGCATCCATGCCTAGTACCTCTTCAAAACGCCCAAGATCAGCTGCTACGTCAGTCGCTCCTCAATATGTAGAGGTACTTAATTATAAGAAACGGCTTGTTATCAGATACTGTGAAGAAATGGCTCAAAAAGGTTCTGGTAGTACCGTTCATGGCGATACTACTGGCGAGCCGAATGAAGTCGCAAGGAAGTAGAGTATGGTTTAACTGTTTACTATTAGTTTGTAGCCAGTTTGTAACTCCTTCAAGGACCAAGGTAAAGAAGTTGTTTTATATTGACAACATAGGATGGTTTTCCTGGTAGACTATTGTCTCATTATAGTAGATTTGATACAAGCTGGTAATGTTGGGTGACATTTAAAAATAATTAAAGATTGATATGTTAATATCATTGTCCCTTGTGGTGCTGGGCATGTAAGAAGAATTTTATTCCCCGTGTTTAGCTAAAAGTCTGATTTTTAACAAATTTTGATAAAATTTGATGAATTAAGTGGTAGAAAAATTGATAAAAATCGTGAGTACCATAAAATATGTGATTGAGTTTAAGTAAAAAATGGGAGCCAAACAGGGCATAATGCGTCAAGCCTGGCGTGATTTTGATGGCCAAACAATCACATTTATTTTATGTGTTTGATAACTTTAATAAAAACATAAGTATGAAATATTTATACCAATTGACGGCAAATTTTGAGTATTGGCAAAATGATTGTTTATTTTAACTTCTTGAATTAAAAGATCAACTTTAATCAAGCAAATAGATATTTATTATTTCGACTAAAAATTGATCAATTGATTGATTTATTAATAGTGTTCTAGAAACTGCTATTCATTTGCTTTTAAAAGTTAATTTTTTTCGAAATAAAACTGCACTGGCCTGAAAGCTTCCTATTATGGTAAATGCCACGTGGACAAACTTGCTAGTAATTTGCGCGAAGAAATAAATTAAATAATAGTAGCGGGTATAATTCGCAAACGAGAAATGCTATTCATCTCCAATGTGGTTGTATCCTCAATCTATGTGGCGTTAATGTGACATTAAATGATATGTGAAATTAAATAAGTCATTTAATTTCACACTCATTTAATTTCACCTATCATTTAACCAATCATTTACATCCACATAGACTGTGAATGTATTTCTATTGGGGATGAATAGCATTTTTCAAAGCAAATAGCAAGGTGAGGCATTTTCCACAGCTAAATCCAACCCTTTTCACCTCAAAGCTTCATCCGTGAGACATTTGACGAAAAAAATAAATAAGACATAACTTAAATAAATAAGTTTGTTTGCTCGTTCGCAGCTTGAGTTTTTAGAGTAATAGATTCAACAAGTTCATTGAAATTTATTGTGCTAGAATCTATGGTAAAATGGGAAATAAGATATTCGACCTATAGAATATATGTTGGGAATTAATTTATATTAAGGGATAAAATCTCACGTCGTTTCATTTTAAAAGGTTAACCTTATTAAAAGGAGTAGTCCAAACTAAATATTTAATCATAAACAAAAGTATTTTATTCGATGTGAGATTTTATTCGAGGAAATTACATAAAACTAGATTTTTAGATTTAAAGTTTATTTTTACAAAAATCAAATGTTAATTCAAATTTTTAATATTAATAAAATATTATAAATTAATTAATCTACATGGATATACTCTTTCTCTCTCTACCTGTATCTCAATTCAACCTTTCCCGACCTCTTTCTACCATTTCTCTATCGGCGCCGTTCACTAGCTCTCTCCCCCCATTTCAGCGCAGCTCCAGCGCGACGAGGTGCCGTTGCAGAGTACTTCATCCACAAGTTTGAAAGAATACATCAAGAGGTTTTGGGTCAATTTTATAGCAGCAGCGAATGTATATGATTTCACAATGAGTTCGATTTTTTTCAATTTCGCCGCTACGCAGCATGGCCTGAGTTTTGGCTTTCTATATGGTGTAGGATCTGAGGAAAATTGGGTCGGGGTTGGAGTTTTGGGTAGCGATCTGGTGCGCGGCGTGACCAGAGTTTTTTTTTGTTGGCGGTGTTACGAGTAGATCGGCACTGTTGGTGGTGGATCCGGCGTTGAGGTGGTGGTCGCTAATGGTTGTGGTGCAAGTGGTGTTGATGGCGATGACGAGGGCGCTGTGGCATTGGTGTTGCCTGGGGACGGGGGTTAGTCACGTGATGGGAGCGGAACTGGCCGCGAGGTGAGGTATTGTTACCGTAATGGCTGTAGTTGTGGTGGCAGCTGAAAATGGTGGTGGTGATGACGGTGAGGATGAGGTGATGACGGTTGTAGAGTGTTGTCGGTTTTGGATCTGATTTGTTGTCGGTGGCTACGATGGCGGCGGCAAATGTGACGATCACAACTTATCAAATTCGAGACGATGATTTTATTGCCGGGAGATGGTGTGGTGGTTCTGGCGACGGTGGTTTGGTTGTTGCAACGGCGTGTTGATGGTCACAAGCGTTGGTGGTGGTCACAAATGATTTGGTTGTTTGTGACCAATAAATTGGTTGGTGTGTGACCAATACATACTGTGTGACCTAAAAATTTATTAATTTGTGACCAATAATTTCATAAATTGTGACCTAAATATAATTTATGATCAATTAATTTGATATTTTGTGACCGTAGATAAATTTGTGACATATAAAATTTGTGATTTGTGACCAATGATTAATATGTGACCTATTAATTTGATAAATTCGTAATCGATAAACAAATTGTGACGTATAAATTTTTTATTTTTGACCGATGAACAAATTGTGATATATAAATATTTTGAATTGTGACCGTAAAATAATTTGTGACATATGAAAATTGTGATTTGTGACCAATTATATGGAATTTGTGACAAATTATATGAAATCGTGACCTTAATATATTTAATTAATAAAATATATGTTTAATTAATTAATTTATAAATAAAATTTAAAAAACTCTGAAATTTGAAATTTTAAACTTAATTTCTTAAATTTGAAATTGGTAAAACTAAACCTCTTATTTATGAAATCTTCCCATTTTATTTCTTAACATCCCCCCTTAAGATGGTGGCTCATTTGAACACATCAATCTTGAAATCTGTGTGCTCAATTTTTTTCGAGTCTTAATCGGATCGAATTACTCGTTGAAATTTAACGGGCTCTGATACTATGTTAATATTTGGAATTCCATCTTAAAATGTGAACTTTGTCCTCAATTGTCCAAACTCTTATAAATTGGTCTATGTTTTCATTTTTATTCGATGTAGAATTTTATCCCTTAACAACTTAATCATGCACAGAAAAAAATAAAGAAATTTCAATTCTCACCAAAAAATATGTTTTATGTTTAGATAGAAACTGTAATAGAAATTATATTATTTGTAGATTATACAAACTCTTTTATTGATCTTGGAACACAAAGAATCACTATCTACAATCTATAACTGTACAATTGTCCAGCCTCCAATAAAAATATACATAGGGAACAAAAAAGAATGAGAGAATTAGTGTTTCTCTTTTCTAACAAGAATATGAATTGTGTTCTATTCAATTTTTCTGAAACCCTAAAGGTCCGTTTGATTGCCAAAGTTAAAAATGGATGGAAAGAAAATGTTTTACAGGGAATTGAATTGCTTAGAAATTGTTTTACCGAGAATTGTAATTAATTGTGTTTGATTGGTATAATTTTCCACCTGAAAAATGTTGAAAACTTGGTGTCCGTTTGGTTTCATTTTTTATGGAAATTGTCCATTAAAATGATAGTTTTTTCTACCATTAGGTCTAGAATTTGTTTCAATTGCCAAAAAAAAAATTATCATACCGAATATCATTCGTTTGACTTTATTTTGTATGAAAATTGTCAATAAAAGTAAAAAAAATGTTTACCATTGTATCTAAAAAATTTTCCAATTGTCAATAAATAAATAAATAAATAAATAAAATTGGAAACCAATTCCCACCAAGGAATTTGTTTTCCCATAAATCAAGGAAAGTGATATGTGAGAGACAACTAAGAAAACTAATTGCCTAGAAAAAAAGGTTATCAAACACTCAAAAAGTGGAAGTTGAAATTTCTTTTCCATTTTTCATGGAAAAATATGGTGAATCAAACATAGCCTAATAGCTTATTAATATAAGTCCAAGTGAACTTAATCCCGTCTCTTAAACTTAACCGGTCAAATATGTAATTAGAACCTATCTGGCAAAAATTAAAAGCAGCTTGGAATCGATTTTTATACCTTTTTTGTCAAAATTGTGGGGGCCACATCACACAACAAGGTCCACAATGGCGGCTCCAACGGTTGAAATTGTGATTTCAATCACAAACAGACAGAGCCTTAATTTAATTAATTAAATTTGGTCCATAAATTAATTAATCCAATTAATTAATAGGTGAATTTCTTTATTGTGGTTCTCCTTTAGTGTATAACTCATTATGTTCTCGATCACAATTCTTAACGACATGAATTATTATTTTGATATAATCAAAATCGATAAATTAAAATACTCATTTTTAATTTATTATCAATTCACATCCGTCGTCTCAAATTGACATCTAGTAATGTGTCAGGACAATACATGTGACGAAAAATATCACGTGGTATGACAAAATCAAACTTGTTCGTTTACAGTGAAACTATAATCAAAAGTAGTCATACTAGACTAGTTAAACAAGATATGGATATATGGCATTCTCAATTATCGATCTTATTTTTCATCTTATTATTAAGTTAATGTAAGTCGAAAACTCTTTTTTCGATTTATAAGTACACATTGACCAAGAATTTGTTATCAATTTAATTGAATGAAATGTAGATCACAATCTCTTACTATTTAAGGGTGACGCATTCTCTATGGTCATTCACAACCTTTATATGATTCTTGACATACCCGAACGATATCGTATTAGCTGTCCTTGGTAGAGTAACATCCAATATCACCAAAGTATGGCTGTTTTCATATAAGGCGCTATGATGATTTCAAGTCGAAGGACAAATTCTACTACCGAACGTTAGAGATTAACTACTGACACTCAAATAATTATCCATGTAGAATCTCACCAATGGGTCTCCGATGTTTTGTTCCACACGTTCATTTAAGTGTCAATACACTTTAACTTGTGAAATCGGCTGCTTACTTCACAAGTAAGAAATGTCACACTTGATGATCTATCCGTAATAATGATATCCGTATCTCGTTATTACTTACGATCATTGATGATTTAAGATTAAGTCATATGTAATTTGTATCTCAAAATCACAACTCCTTATGACTAACAAATTACTAAGAATTGAATTTACAGGCTCTATTATTGAATATTGATTAAATAATAGATCTGCAATAAAAATTTATTAATCATATATTAAAAGTGTGTATGTCCAAAGTTGATTGGACATAGACATAACACTTACAACAGTATAGACATTGAAGAATATTGAGAGCGCTATAAAGGATATTGGCTTATTGCAAACACATATCGAAGTATACTGTTCTTGAAAGCCAGCAATGAGGTTTGTGATGATTGTTTTACGCAGTTACCACCATCAAAATTAGTGTCACCAAAGTCCCTTGTGTTAATCACAGCCAGTGCTATCAGTGATGATTACAGGTTTCCGATATTCATGTGGAAGGTTAGTAGTAAATCATCTAAATACAATAGTTTGGGCAGAATCGGGGAAAGTGCCCTTTTAACAGTAAGACATTTTAACTTGGTAACATGATTCCTCTGGCATTAATCCTTTTGCGCTAATTGAACAATTATATGAGCATGTTTGGGGTTCGAAATAAGTCAACATAAGCACAAGCCACCGGGCATGCTCTATGACTTACGTTTGAATCACAAATTGGAAGTTCGTTTTGTTTATGTTCAATGAGTATATTCTTCCATTAGTTCTGAGTAATGTGATCTTATGCAGGTTGAAAACTTTGGCACTGTATATTTGGTTGACCAAACATTTATTCTAATTATCAGTTCTATCTTAGTCAATGGGGCATATTTCTTAAGGTTTTTGGTACTTGCAAAGCTTCAAGCCGAGCAATATATGCGGTATCAATTACAAAATCATTAGGCCTGGGGGAAATTAAGAAATATTAGGTTATGTGTTCTTCAAATAAAATAATAAACAAACTCAAATCAAAATGACTCCGTGGCCCAATGGATAAGGCGCTGGTCTACGGAACCAGAGATTCTGGGTTCGATCCCCAGCGGAGTCGCATGTATATTTTTTTCTCATTTTAATAAAGATTATCATAAGTCATTAATCTAATATCATTAAATTAGAAATTTAGATTTTTGCCCAAATTAGAATAACTAATTAACATGTCACTTGTGAGGTCGCTCGCCATATATAATGAAATTTTAAGAATATTGTAATCAATAAATTTTTATTAATACATCCTCACTCAGGCATATAACTATACTTGCACTTCAAAATTTATGTAAATTGTAAATCACTTCAAAACATAAAGCGAAGAGTAATTAGACGAACTCCAAAATCAGAATAAGACTCGTCATCACAACTAGAGATTAGTTCAACGAGATATCTAGTAATCAATTGAAGATATTTATTTGCCTTTCTCCTGCCCGCTCGGTAAATCAAAGAACATTAGCATCAAGATAAGATCGTGCACATATACGACAATCTCTGGTTAGTTATCAACTGCAAGCTTAACCTTCTAACATGTGCGAACTAATGTAAAGCTCAAACAGAAAGAAACATCAAGAAATATATCACGAGCCATTCAATCGTTTTTAACCCATAAATATATCAACTTCTAGTCAAGATTTCCAAACAATTTCAGAACATTTATCAAGTTGGAGTTGGAACACAAAACTTGAGAAAATCAGCCAAAGATGTTCCTTCATAAATGTAAAAACAATCCAAAAAGCCAAACATCGAACAATGCTTTTTTCCATTTTAAGCAAATATAGACCAAACATGTTTTACATAAACAAGTTGGGTCGAGATGCTTTGTAGGTTGTCTTGAGCTTCCTGCTTGGTGGTCTCACCTTCCTGAACACTAGGGGGAACTTGATCTTGGAGTTATGGAATTGTTTCGTACTCTCCCTCTTGCAAAGCTTTGCGGGTATAGTGGCGGTCTTAATAATTTGAATACAGTGAGAACGGACCCTGTGACGAGAAGCCATCTCAGTGTACATCTGCTCAACAGCACCATTCAGAGTGGTATCACGGTACTCCTTGTACATGTTATGATACCCAGTTCTGCTTTGGTATCGCAACCAAATGCCATAGTTCTTGATGGTTGTCGGGTTCTTCTCAAAAATCTACAAAACGGAAAACTATTTGATCACGCAGTTCTCAGAAAGGTAGTTCAAGAAGCAAAAAGAACTTCCAAAAAGCTTTGAATCCAGCTTATGAGAGCAGTCCATTATATTTTCCAACAAATGAAAGAAAAGCATGTGAAACCATCAAATACACAATTGGTTCCTACGATCAGTACACTAAAGGCTATAAGCTTGTAATGCACTATTAAAACGAAATTACACTTTTATTCATTCCACTGTTGAATCATACAATTGCTTCCTATAATCAGTAAACTAAAGGATATATTTGGAACTCAGTCTCTAATGCAGGGCATTTATTATGGATAGCCTACAACCTTTGCAACTCATACAAGAATGGGCAATCTCTTATGGTGCTTGAGCTTGAAGCAACAAAAATTTTCAAAAAGGGTTATTGTATTATCTCTAAATATCAATCGTCTCAGCCTGCATCCCAATTCGTTAGATAAGTTACCTTTGTACCCAATCTACATGGTGAATTTTTCTTTAAATCGCAATAAGCCCCAGTTTGAGCCACATTAAAATTCTCATTCTCATTCTTCTACTCATTTTCAATCACACGTTCTTCAATAAAATAATATTTTCCATCACATCAATAATTTTTCCTTCTTTTTCAACCACACATTCTCCTCCATCAATCTATTATTCCAAAATACATTCTTCCAAAATATTGTGGCTCAATCACACCATAACAAAATCACTAGAGCGATAAACAACAAAATTACAGTAAAAGTGTACAACAAAAGAAATTACAAGCAAAGTATTTAGGAATCAAGTTCATATCAATTTGTCATTCATTGAAAATGTTTGTTGTACATTACCATTTTCATAATTTTTTACAAAGATTACAAATTGACAAGGTCAAAAAGAAACTGGGGAAGGTTGGTTGATGAGATTTTGACCCAATGAAATCTTGCCACCTCATCTGATGGTAAACAAATCCGTAAGTTGTGATGTAAATGTCGCACGACCGGTCATTCATATGCTTGTATATTTCAGTAAAATTATTTTATCTATGTTTAACATCCCATAGTCTTAACCTTAAGGAGTTGCTCAATTGGTCATGCATTAGGTTTGTTCCCCAATGGTCACCAGTTCGATTCCCCTTAGGGCCACTAAGGTGAGTACCCGATTGTAAACTTCAGGGCCCCGTGGGATTAGTCGAGGTGTGCGCAAGCTGGTCCAGACATCCACAGTTATCAAAAAAAAAAAAACATCCCATAGTCTTATTGAGGCATATTAATAATTAATATAATGATATTCCACAATATTAACAGCAAGAGCATTCATATTATTCAATAACTTTTAGCCAGCATTTGAATACGAAACAAAACAAGATGCGGCATTTCCAACTGTATGCGCATATATATTCCTAACTTCGTAAATTACAGATTAAAGGCATACAACCATACACCGTATAAATTCTTTATAATTTTTTCCCTATTGACACTTCCATAATGTGAATTTACCATATTTTAGTATATGTTCTTTCGAGTTTAACATAATCATATGAACACACTGATTGATTATATAAATGAGTGCAAAAAAATACCTCATTGATAGCGAGCATCTGACCGTTACTCTTCTTTACCTTCTTAAGCTTCCTCAAAAAATACCTTAATAAACAATAGCAGATCTCAAACACTATACTTCGATAAAGTATATAGCTACTCACGCAACAGACATGTATATTTAGCAGAGGAAGAGGATCATACCAGAACTTAGACTTAGCACGGACTTCATTGGTGGCCCAGAGCTTCATACGGTAGATCTTCGGGTGCTCCTCGGTTTCCGTCGGCAGAGCTCTCCCCACCACTTGGTACTGATGAATCTGCACCATGTACAACACATAAAAGCCTATAAATCCCCATTGGAAACCCCAATTCATGATCAAACACACAAATTCATATATATACATATAAACAAGTATAAATACATAAATTTTCCATCATAAGAAGGGAGATTAATGGGAATTACCCTGTATGTCACCATTTCTCCTCTCCTGTCTCTGTCTCTCTCTCTCTCTCTCTGCAGGGGGTGTGGGTGGTTAGGGTTTTGTGATTTAAGAGACGCGGGATTGGAAACCCTAATTAGCTTTTGAGGGCTGTTTGGTTATGGGGATATTGTATTCCGGACCGGTTAGGGTTAACCCGGTTTTTTCTTCTGTCTTTTACTCTTTTCTGTGTTTCTTTTTTTAATTAATTTCTTTTTTTTTTCTCCTATCTTTTACTCTTTTGTGTGTTTCTTTTTTCAATTTATACAATTGTCAAATTCTTGTTCCACATTTTAACAAAAAACGTCATTTACTTCATCTTATGGATATGATCTACTCTCAAAAACACTAGTAAATTTTTAAATGTTCTTATAATATGAACATAATATTGAAACAAAATACAATTTGAAACTTCGTAAGAAGTTAGAATAATAACGACTCGATTATATTATATGATAGTGTACCTTCTTTACTTCTATCGAGTTGACATCTCTACTATATATCACAAATAATTTTTCTTAGTATTTTGTTATTTTACTTTTCAGTGTCAAGACATTGGTAAGATAAATTCAACAACATTATCCGTAAGAAGAAGAAAAATATTAATTAAATCTCTATTATCGTCTCAAGTAATACGCATCAAAAAAGTCATTAAAAGGGTACGTCAAGGACCACCACCATTTAAGTTGACTAGAATTTCCTCACAGTGGAAATGAACATCACAACACAGTACAACATGGCTACAACAGAACTCCCTTAAACCTTAAGCTTGAACAAACAGATGAAAGCCAAAAAACAAGATCAACTCAATTCCTAGCCTAATTTTGTAAGAAGCAGACCGCTCTACTCTCACATCATCCACCACCGGACCGCACAGAGAGCTCATGTCGTCAGTTCTCGTGTTGTAATAAGCGCTATAAAAAGCAACGCGTGTCCGTTCTGCCCTGGCCGTAAAGTTAAGATTCGAGGTCTGAAATGTGGAATTCGAGTTGGGAGTGTAATGGATGCTTTGGGCTTGATCACCAGCAAAAGCCATGATGGCTAGTGGTCGCTTACAGGCATCCCCGGCGTGGCCTAATGAAAATGTCATCGTGTAAGGTTTGTTCGGTTTGGTTTCCACCATCTGGGAGATGATCCCTTCCTTGCCAGAGAGTAATTCAATGGCTCGTTTGCCACCTGGAACTGTGAAATGGTACGAGTCGATATAACGTACTGCTCTATTTGATTCAACTATCCAGCCGGGCAATGATGATGTCTCATCGTCGAGGTTGGTTGGGAGTAGAACGCCAAGAGAAGCATTTCTGAACATCCATGGGCCTTCCTCGAAATCACCATTAACAACTGCATTGTCTGAACACACAAAGACTGCATATTAAGGTTTTGATACAAGACTAGGTAGTAATTTAATATGTATTAATGTAAGAAAAACTAACTTTTCAGTTTGTCCGGAACATAGATCTTCTTGATAGCAACGGCATCGATGATTGGGCCACAGGTGGGGTCATCTTCCATTCCGGGATTTCTAAACGCCACCCGCACATCTTCCTCATCTGCCTGAAATGCCCATGCGTATGAATCCCATCCCTGTACACTATACAGAGTCTGCAAATCAATGGTCTGAGACGCTGGGGGAACTGAAACATTCAAAGACTCTAGCTGGGCACACGTGCGCGCTGCGCTGAATGCCACAGAATAAAGTGAGCCCTTTTCGACTTTCAATTCTTGGCTTATCTCAGCATCATTGCCAAGTCGCACCGCATGTTTACCCTGTGGTACAATGAGAATCATCCCGCCCTGTTTTTGCCCTGACTCTACTAGCTCCACCGTTCCATTGGATTTCCAGCCGGGAATTGTGGAGGGACCGTCAAAAAATACAGCCTCTGAAGAGAAGCCTCCAGATGGAGCAGTCTCGAAATCACCATTAACAAGTAAGCCTGCAAAATTTTTTGTAAGTAGAGTGCTATAAATAAACCACTTCCCCACTGTCCGGGTCTTTGATCAATCAATGATGCATAGCAGCATACTATGTGACTTTTGATACAGCCACAAGTTAGCTGGTTCAGTATGTTGTCTATGACCATGTCTATTTCGGTGTCAAAGGGGTGATGCTCAGAGGTGTAAAGATGGGCAGGCTGTCCCAGCCAGGGTCTTGCCATGGGCAGCCTAAAACTTTACACCTGGAGGTTTCAAAGTTAGTGCTCAAAATGAAATGGGATTAACAAAGTAAGGAGTTTGTAGCAAAATGAAATGGAATTAACATAGTAAGGAGTTTGTATGACAAAAATATGCAGGGAAACAGAAACTCTGAACTTTGTACGAACGTAGTTTTTTTTTTTTTTTTTTTTTCAGAACCAATACTATTCTGCATATACTACAGAAAATTGAAGTCAAGTACCATTAGGAGACCATTAATTAAAACAATGCTGGAAAAGTGTTACTTAGTTCTTTATGTGTTTTCATTTGGAGAGGAAAAAGGGTATTCAAATTAAGGAATACTAAACAAACGGTGGGCCAAAGATGTTGAATTCCTGAAGAATAATAATCATTATAAGATTCAAATTTTGACACTAAAGACAAAAAATTAAATAATTGGCCCCCGTTAAATTTTAATTCATTTTTCAGCCTACTCTTATCAATCACACATTCTTTCAATAAAATAATATTACATATAAACTCAAAATTTCTCTTTACTTTTTTTTTAAAAAATACACTATTCCAAAATCATTTTTTTTCAAATAATGGAGCTCGAAGAAGGGTAAAGCTTTTGTGAAATTATAAGTTGATTAACCACATAATTCATGATATCCATCGACTTATAATCTCAAACGACTGTCAATCAGAGGCTATACCAATTTTGCTAGTAAGTCACAAACTCGCCGTAATTATTTACTTTTGGGCGTCAGTAAATCTGTGATCACAACCAATGAAGCAATACTTTGAAGTGCAAATTAACCCAAAAACACATTCTCAAACCAAATTTCTGGATGTGTATCAGACCATTTCCTTGCAAGAAACTATACAAAAACCAATAAAGGTTAAGTTCAGTTCACTATTTAAGCATTGGTGTGAAAAGTAAAAAACCAAAGCACCCGCGAATATATAACTTCGTAAGATCCTAAATCATCTAAATATTAAGTAAAATTACCAATATTAAAGAGAAAAATGGGATTTAATAATAGAACGTACCATCTTCAACTGGTGCAGCAGCTGAGCAAGCCAGGAGAAGTGCGAACACTGAAACCCATTTATATTTCGTTGAGCTCAAACACATTTTTACTACCAAAACGAGAGAGAGAGAGAGCGAGAGAGAGAGCGAGAGCACGGGAATTGAATACACTGTAAAAAACAATGCGATGAGAGAAGACGACACAGGAAGTGTCCTTTTATCCAAGATTCCAGCTGTTTGTTCTTTTTAACCCTGTGAAATTGGTCAAGGGAGAATTTCACGTGTGGGTCCCGATCTATATTATTCGAGCAACAAGTTCAACTTTAAACATTTAAGAAAACAAGTTAATCCTCAACTTTCGTTAACACCTGAAGAATAACAGATAGATTGAGCTCTTGTTTGAGCTCGAGCATTTTTAAATAGTGATTTTTAGAGAATGTGTTGTTGAAAATTAAGAATTTTTTTTATTTATGTGTAATATTATTTTATTAGATATTGTGTGGTTAAAAATAATTTTTCAAAAATGAATTNATTGTGTGGTTAAAAATAATTTTTCAAAAATGAATTTAAAAAAAAAAAATCGGGGCTCAAACAATTTTTAGTATTGCTAACAATTTTCCCCATGAGTTAATTTTAAGAAGAATTCGTTTCCATAATAAGAGTTGATCTTTCACCGCCATTAATACATAGATAAGAATATGAAACATTTGTCTAGAACAAATGGAATTGTAAAAAAAAAAAAATCGATTAATCAACTCTAAATTATGACAGCTCAAGCAGTTCTTATCCCACGAGCAAATGTAACAAAATAGACCACAGGAAGAGGACACTCGTATAAAATTTCAAAGGGAGCAAAAGAAGATACTAACTGATTGTGCTAAACCCAAGCTCCACCTTGACCCACCTTAAAAATGGGCCTTAGCCCACTGTTGAGATCGGGCATGGTCGGGTCGGCCCCATGCTGCTCGACCCATATGACCCGACCTTTGGCCCACTATTCTTGGGGTCAGTTTCAAGGTCGGGCCACATCAATGGACGCTACCTCGTCCTCTAAATCACGTGTCCTCCCCCTCGTCACACGTGCCTCTAGAACACTATTTCAATTCGGACACTAACTTCCCAATTGCCTTAAGTTTCACCTTAACTCAATTAACATATTCCTAACACAAAATAAGTGAAGTTGAGTCCTTTTAGGGTTTCACATCCACCCTCTATAAATACGCAATCCAACCCCATTATTCAAGTATGTTCTTTCATAGCGTACAATATTTTGTAATTCCTCTATCTGACTTAAGCATCGGAGTGGCGATGAGGACGCACCTCGACGCCTTTGTTTCAGGTACTAAAGATCAGAGCGTGCGGAGTTCAGTCATCCGGTTCGAGTCAATCTAGGTACGAAGTTAAGATTTAGGATTCTATCCCTTAACATGCCCCCTCAAAATAGTGGCTCGTTTGAGCAGACCAATTTTGAAATCTGTATGCTCACTTTTTGGAGTTTTAACCAGATCGAATTACTCGTTAGAGTTTAATGAGCTCTGATACCATGTTAAGAATCGGGGTTTCATCTTAAAAGGTTAATCTTGTTATCTTGAAATCTGTATGCTCAATTTCCATGAAAAATTTTGGCTATCAAATATGGCAAAAGTGAAAAATGGAATTTCAATTCCATTTTCCCTGGAAAAAAAGGGGCCTATCAAACACGTCCTAAGTTTTGTTCAACCTTTGATTCAAGTCTTTCCGTTGTCTTTTAGTCCTTTTTTTTTACACTTAGTCACCAATGTTTGTCCAGGTTGAAATGTGGTCCTAAAAACACGAAAACATTTTCTCTAAACTTCGGTGGGACACTTTTGCTCCAGCAAAGTTCTTGTGGTTTATGCGAGGCTCTAGCTGTTTCCCGGTGACTAGGCAGCACTGTCCCTACTTGGCGTGCTTACTCCAATATTGTTTGCACATGACATCCGAAGGAATAACATTAGTGGTGGCTCGGCTCCGCCCCGGCCCATACCCGCACGAGCTGAGCTCATAGCTCGTGACCCAAGAGCCAAGCTTAAGCTCGACTCGTTGGTTTTTGGGCGAATTCAGATTGTGCTCGAGCTCGCCCAAAACGAGCTGTTCGGCTCGTCGGCTCGTTTTTTTTT